AATGTCATCCCATAACTCATCTGGTGTTCAGTCATTCATGTTCATTCTGTCAAACCTATCCTTTACATGGTCTGTAAATGCAAGTGCAATATAATCAAGGTTGTATTTTGACTCTTATGCACTTGTTTTAATTATTTTCTGCTTCAACTTGAATTTGCACAGGGACAATTGATGGTCTGTTCCACAGTCAGCTCCAGGCCTTGTTTTGACAGATGATATTGCACTTCTCTAATGCCTCTTTCCACAGATGTAGTTTATTTGATTCCTGTGTATTCCACCTGGTGATGTCCATGTGTAAGTCACCCTTTATGTTGTTGAAAACATATTTTCAATGGATAAGTTGTTGGTCTTGCAAAATTCTATCATGCAATCTCCAGTGCAGTGTCATTTCTATCATCAAAGCCATATTTTTCAACTACCAATACTTCTTTGTTTCCAACTTTTGCATTCCAACCACCAGTAACCATTAATATATCTTGATTGCATGTTTGGTCAATTTCAGACTATAGGAGTTGGTAAAAATTTTCAATTTCTTCATCTTTGGCTTTAGTGGTTAGTGCATAAATTTGAATAACAGTCATATTAACTGGTCTTCCTCATAGATATATAGTTATTATCCTATCACTGACAACATTGTACTTCAGGATAGATCTTGAAACATTCTTTTTGACAATGAATGAAATGCCATTCCTCTTTAATCTGTCATCTGCAGCACAGTAGACCATGATTATCTGATTCAAAATATCTGATACGAGTCCATTTCAGCTCACTAATGCCTGTTCTTGTTGTTGTTGTTGTTTGCCATGGAGTGGGATCTGACTCATAGAGACCCCTCTCTGGGTTCCAAGGCAGAATCACTACAGAAGTAGATTGCCCAATCTTCCTTCCAAGGAGGGGCAGGTAGGTTTGAACTGCCAGCCTTCTGATTAGCAGTCAAATGCCTCAAGCACTATGCTACCAGAGCTCCTATTGATCTTTATGTGTCACACTTCATCTTTGACAACTTCCAATTTTCTTACATTCATACTGTGTACATTGCATGTTCTGAATATTAATGAATGTTTGCAGCTATTTCTTCCCATTTTGAGTCATGCCCCATTAGCAAATGAAGCTTCCGAAAGCTTTACTGCATGTCATTAAAACTGACTCTACTTTGAGGAGACGGCTTTTCCCCAGTTGTATTTTGAGGGCCTTCCAACCTGAGGGGCTTATCTTCTGGCACTATATCAGACAATGTATCAGGGCTATTCATAAACTTTTCCAGTAATATATCACAGTGTTTCAAAGCTATTCATAAGGTTTTCAGTAGCCAATTTTTTTCAGAAGTGGATGGCCCTACTCTTCTTCCAAGTCTATCTTAGCCTGGAAGCTCTGCTAAGTGGATGACCCTACTGGTATTTGAAATACGGGTGGAATAGCTTACAGCCTCACAGCAACACATAAGCCACCACAGTACACCAAACTGACAGAGGAGTGGTGGCATTAGCCATTAGAGAGATGTGAATCAAAACAATGAGATATAATCTTACTTTAGCCACAATAGCAAAGTTTAAAAATAAAATAAAATAAAATTCTGGCAAGGGTTTTCAGAGATTAGAACCTTCCTACACTATGAGTGGGATTATAAAATGGTGCAACCACTGTGGAAAATGATATGGCACTACCTTAAAATGTTAGAAATAGAAATACTGTATGATCCAGCAATCCTACTACTAGGTACATATCCTAGAGGAAGAGAGCTGTAAGACCAAGAGATATATGCACACCCATGTTCATAGCAACAGTGTTTACAATAGCAAAAAGATGGAAACAACCTAAGTGCCCATTAAAAGATAAATAGATAAACAAACTATCATACCTACAGAAACAAACACTGTGCAACATTAAAAAGTAATAATGCATCTGTGAAACATATCCTAACATGGATATACCTGGATGATATTATGCTGAGTAAAATTAGTCAATCACAAAAGGGGAAATATTGTATGAGATCACTATTATAAATAGTCAAAACATGTTTTTTAGAAACATTCTTTGAAGGTTATTGGGGAGGGGTGGAGTAACCACAAACTAGAGGGTAGACACATTTTAACTTGTGTGAAGGGGAAGGCAACACACTTTAAGAGGGAGCTCAGCACAAAATGATCAAGGCAAAGGAAGACACTTGGAGAACAGTGTTAAAGGCAACATAAATAAATACTATTACATTCACAATCTTGTAATAAAAATAATGTATGAGTAAATACTTATATGTGCAAGCTGAACAGAGAAATCAAAGCACCCACAAAAATACATAGGTTTTACAGAGTACATGTATATGTATGTATTTATATGAGTTATATATATATATATATATGAATATAGTAGAACATACAGGGGGCACAGTTATGAAGATCTCCTAGCCATAATCAAACACTTTGAGGGAATGACTCATTGGGCCTAGGGTTCATACCATAATCTTGGGGAAATCAAGATCAATTGGCATAGCATATTGCTCAAAGACAATGTTCTACATCCTACTTTGATGGTTACTGATTGGGGTCTTAAAAGCTTTTAAGTGGCCATCTAAGGTGCAATAAAGAGTGAAGAGTGAAGAAAAATCAAAGATGCATGGAAACAATTAGTCCAAAGGGCCACTTGAACTGTAGCCTCCACTATCCTGAGATGAGAAGAACTAGATGGTGCCTAGCTACCTCAGCCAACTTCTCTGAAAGGTATCACAATAGAAAGTCCTATTATAGAGTGTGGAAAGAAATGTGGGGGAAAAAAATCATAGTAATATCTAATAATAAAAAGGCTTAATGGTTTGATAGAGACTGGTGGACCACCTGAGATTATGGTCCTTAGAAATCTTTCAGGCCTGGAACCAAACTCACCCCAGTGGCTCAACTTTCAGCCAAACAGTAGACAGGCTTATAAAATGAACAGTAACATGAGAGAGATACGCATTCATTAATACAACCAGTTAAAGAAGATCAAAAGGGCCACATTTGCCCAGGAATAAAGCTCGGAAAGCAGAAAAAAAACCAGTCATTGAGTCGATTCCAATGCATAGTGACCATCTAAAACAGAGTAGAACTGCCCTATAGGGTTTCCAAGGCTATAAATCTTCACAGAAGCAAACTACTCATCTTTCTCTCACAGAGTAGCTAGTGAGTTCGCACTGCTGACCTTTTGGTTAGCAGTCAAATGCACTATCCTCTACACTAACAGAGCTCATCAGAAAGTAGGGATAGGGTAGATGGACAAAAAGAAATGGTACACACAGGGAGGAAATGGGAAAAATACTGTTATATTGTGGAGATTGCAATCAATATCACAAAATAAATTCTGTATAAATAATTGCATGGAGAACTAATATGCTATGTAAACTTTCACCCAAATGACAATAAAAAGAAAAAAAAAATCAAACCATGTACTGCACTGGGAAAATTTGCTGTGTTTCAGCCTGTTGTACATAGGGTCGCTATGAGTTGGAACTGACTCAACAGCACCTAACAACATGTAGAGGTAATCTTTAGCTGATGAAGTAAATGACAATTCATATTTTATATGAATTTATGACACACACTGACCTGAAACCAAAAGTATTCTTTATAATTAATTGTATTTAGTTCCTAAATGTCACACATGTTATTTTAGCACTTCCATCTGTGGCTCCAAGAACACTAATCATTGTACTTTAAGTCAGTCCCAGACAAAAAATACTGATTTTGAAGTCTTATAAGTCTTGTTCCTATATCATCATAAAGTGGAAGGAACCTTAAAAGGTTGCCTGGTTCTCAAGTAAAATACTACAAGTATTCAAAATAGATTATTTATTTTTCTTAGTTCATAGTCTAATCAACTTTATTTATGCTTCCAGGACACATGCTTTTGTTTTGTTGTTGTTGTCAGGTACCATTGAGTTGGTTCTGACTCATTGCTACCCCAAGTACAACAGAACAAAACACAGCCAGGTTCTGTGCCAGCATGACCAATGGCATAGCCTCCAGCTTCACAGCAACATGCAAGCCACCACAGTACGACAAACTGACTGACTAGAGGTGCATGCTTTTATTCATATCTAATTAAACGTTTTATTAATGTAGATGAATATAGGAAAAACAATCTGTCAAGTTCTTGTTCACAATTCTTTTTTTCTAATTTGAGAATTTTACAAGTCACCTTTCTCTTTTCTATTCCAGGCTAAATAATTCCAGCTCCTTTAATATTTCTTCACAGGGCCTGCCTTAAATTTTTCCCCGATTTCTTTCTAACCTCTTTGGATTTCTTGACATTCTGCTGTTGTCTAAAAGATTCAGTTTCTAGTAAAACAACTATAAATGAAATTTAGTAGTAGAACACCTCTTTCAAATCATGAGAAAATGATGAACCCCTGGCCCATGGAAATGCTTGCAAGAGAGATGTTTTGAGGGAACTGGGTTCCACACATTCAGCAAAAGAAACTATGAGGTTGTTGTGGAGACCTTACAAATCATACTTCTTTTTTTTTTTTTTTTTCATCAAAACAGTTGTTAATAAACTAAGTATTTTAAGGCTATGTATATTCCATTTATTCATCAATACATTCAATATGCATTCTGTACTTAGCTAGCAACATATCAAAGAAAAGAAAAAGAAGATACAAATCTTTTCCATATGACATTTATGACATTCTGAGAGAAAAAATATAGACATATGAAATTATTTAAGTGCAGAAAACCACACAGAAATGATTGCAAAACAATATAATAGAAACTGAGTCCATAATTGCAGAGAAAATGAAAAACAGAGGACTAACGAATGTCAAATTGGATTATCCAAGGACAAATATTCTAGGGCAGCCTCATTTTGAAGAAGCAGAGAGAAATTCTTAGAGGTCTAGTCTGTACCCTATGTCATGTGCTTCATCATGTTACAAAAAACAAACAAACAAAAAAGTATTGATGGACAAGGACAATGGTGATACTTCAATTACAAATCTTCTTGTTCATCACTTCTTTTAAGATTGATTAAAATTAATTGGTTTCATCTTCCCATGTAAAAATATTTTCATCTTCCAAAATATGAAGTATTTCTAATACATTTCTGTTGCTGATATTTAAGGATGTCTCAACTTGACAAATATCTAACAGGTAGGTTTGAACAATCATTCCAAGGGAGGAATGATAGTTCATATTTCCTCTTACTACTTGATTCAGGTTTGTTTTTGAGCTCTGGAATCTGTTGTTTAATAAATTGTTATTCTCATCAACTGCTTTAAAGATTTCATTTGTCTGATTGCTGGGATCTTCTATATTTGAATTCACTTCACCCACAGGTAACAATGGTGTGTTCAAGTAATTCACATAAAATCTTTTCTTTAGATTTGATTGAAATTTATTTAAATTATATTTTTCCTCTAAGTCCAAGAAGTTAATTCTTTTTAATTTTCTTCTTTTATCCATCAAGTTGTACATGTTGTTGAAATAAAGCCAGTCAAATGCCTCATCAATGGCATTATCTATAAATACTTTTCTCCTACTTGTTTTATTGTCGGTATCTTTGACCACATTTTTGTTTGACTGTAGGAAATATGGTTGTACTCTCATCCATAAATGGAAACCTAAGAAATTCTCTATATCAGAGTTTTTACGATACACAAATCCTCGGTCTCTCTCATTTATGGGTTGGATAGTAACAGTTAGTATTGGGCAATGTTGACCACAAATAGCATAGAGTTTATCCAAAGAGTCACCTTCCTGAAGAGTACCATGAATCATTTTATTGTCAGGCAATAGCTGGTTTTTAATATTACTATCAGATTCAGGATGGACTTTGTTACCAGCAGATGTAAAGGCATGAGTGACAGAAGTACATACTCTTCCAGACCGATGATTACCCTTCTCCTCTGCACGGTGATTTGGTATCTTTTCCATGGTGCAGATTTTATTTTCATCATCTAACAAATCCTCATGAAAAGCCTCAGAGTCACTACCATGAGGCATATTAAAATAGTGACATTTCAGTTCAAGAGGTTGAGTAATTTCCTCTAGTTCTGAAGATGATAATTCAGCCATAGTTGGGCCTGGGGCCAAATTCCCAAAATGTGAGTATGGTACTTCATTGCTGTTATTATCAAATAGTGTATCCACTGATGTGGTATCCACATTGCCACATATGCCAGGATTTTCAGGAGATGACACCCTTAGCAAATGATTCTCTTTAAGGAACCACTTGCCTTTGTCGATCAGTACTCCTTCACATATGTCCCTAAGAATTCTGTTATGATCATTTTGCTTTGTACCATGTTCTACAGTACCTTCCCCATTATTACTGGCCCTCAGACCATTAAAGTCACATTTATCTTGTATTTCCTCTGAAAACTCCTGCAACATAGGTGAACTACTACCTACCTGTTCAGACTCATAAGGGCCTACTTTCCTAGCACACTGAAATTCTACAGAATTGTGAGGCCAAACCTGAGATCTTTGTGTAGACCCCAAAAAAAGAGATGGTTTAACAATCTCTGCTTTACCATAAAGTTTTTCTATTGTTCTTTTAACAAACCCTATGTTGTATTCTTTTTCCTGGGAAATATCTTCACCACTATCATTGAAAGCATCACTGGATGCTTTTTTACTCTCACTGTCTTGTCTATAGTCTGACAAATCAGAACTTATTTGACTTACTACACTTTTTTTAAAATCAAGAGACACTTTTGGATAACTTCCAATTTCCATGCTTTTTACCATCATTTGTATTCTGCTTTTAGTTTTGCCTTCGTTGATCTCCTTTTCAGTGTTTTGGTTAGAATCATAGCAAAAAACTAAAGATGGTGGTGTTATCAGCCTTCTACCAATTGTCTCACAAATTACACTGCTCTTTCTTTCTTCTTCTATAATGTTTCTGCTAGAGACTTCTATCAATTCCAAATTTTTACTAGCTGCTAACTCTTTTGGGGTTGATTCAGCATTAGCTTGCTCTCTGGCATTTACCTTTGTATTAAAGATATTGGTGTCCTGGTTTTCTAACTCTTCAAAAGACTCTAATTCTGAAATGTTTCTTTCACTTGATGTCATGCTGTTAGTTATTGAGCCTGCTTCTTCAGAAGTCCTTGATTCTTCCTTATCAAAGGATGTATGTGCATTTTTATCCTGGTTTTTATAGTCTAGTGAACAACTCTGAAATTGAGTTAGAGAACCATGTTTCTGTTTCTTACCAAATTCTGGTTCTGTTGAATTTAGGAAAAGGCCACAATGGCTTAAATTACTCATATTTTTGTGTGACATTAATGTAGTAAAGCTATTTTTATACTCAGGGTCTGCCAAAATATTGAGGTCTTTTTGAACTTCATCAACCCTTTCTAACTCTTCAATCAATTGCAAGTTATCAGTATATGCATTTTCTTTAGAATTTAAAAAGTCATTGGTATTACAGAATTTGATGGGAATGTAGGCTTCATCAATTGGGCAAGCTGACGCATGAATATAGTTCTCCTTTTGAAAACTAGACACAGCATCAGTAAATGAACAAACCTCTCCTAGGAAACAAGCCTTATTCCTGGAGAAGGTCTGAACCATGGCACAACCATCATCAGGAAAAAAAGTATTATTGGGGTTACAGGTCTCTTCTGTAAAAGAAATCTTACTCATAGTGCACTTAGCACTTGGAGAGTAATTCACTTCTGGAACACAGTCTTCAGGGACATTGGTAAAAGAGGGTATTTCCTGTGTTTTTTCATTTTCAGTGCACAAAAGAACTTTCTGAGTGTTGGCCGGCAAACAATCTGCAGAAAGTCCTATTGGAACCATACCTTGTTCTTTCTCAGTGAGTCTAAAGCAATCTGTGGTTGACTCCACTAAACTGGCAACAGCAGTCTTCAAGTCATCAGCTTCCTCTGTGATGGAAATGTGCTTTAGAACCTCTAATAATGCCAGTATTTCTGAAGATTTGCTGGTACTCTTGTGTGTATCACCTTGATGGAAGCTACTCATAATTCCTTTTAGATTTAGCACCAGGAGCCAAGCTAGAAGAAGACTAGTGGATGAATTATGTATTGCAGGAGAAGGGAAAGAAACATCTGAAAGTGAACCTGCCATTTGAATAGCTCCATTCTGAGTCTTTGGAATACTAGGAAATGAAGCTTGCAGTTGGTGAAGCAACAGGACTGGTACAAGGTCTTTTTGGGTGTCTTCTCCAATGGGATCTACTTGAACAGCAGCTTCTACACTTTGTTCTTTTTTAACTAGGCTTATTTCTTGACAAGCAAGGTTTACCTCTTGTCCTGTGTTTTCAGCAGATGCCTGACTTTTAGTATTGTGATCATCAACATCTGATTGTGATAAAGTACAATGTTCATGCAGGGAAATCAAGTAAGCATCATTTAGAAATCCAGCTTGGTTCTCACAGAGGTCTTTGGTAAGTTCTTCACCATTATCTTTGGCAATAAGGGACTTACCTACCTCTTTACCTACATTACCTCTTGTCAAACTGGCATTTTCAGTTATGTGCTTATTACTTCTCATAGCAAAATTATTTCCTTTTCTTGAACTTGTGCGGAGATTATTTCCTGAAAAACCACAATTGTTATAACTTACCACATTCCTTTCACTTTTGCATATTGGAGATGATTTTCTAGGTTGCAAAACTGGAAATGGTTTTACATTCTGCAACCATCTCTGTATGTAATTTTGAGGTGAATGATGGCCAATATTCTCAGGAAGATGAGCTCTTTTCAAAGAAGCTAAGGAATTTGCCATGGTTGCAGCATGCTGTTTACTTACAACAGTACTTGATTTCAACTTTTCTCCTTTTTGTTTTTTCTGGTGTTTTAAAGTTATATGTGAATCATTAACTTTTGAAACTAAACTCTTCTTTGTCACTCCTCTCAAGTACCCAGATGTCACTTCTTCCTGAGACTGTAGTCCACAAGAAGTTCTGGGTGTTTCCTCAAAGAAGTTAAAGACATGAAATAAACTTTTATTTTCAAAAGCATTTTTGCAATATTTAAATTCACTCTGTGGAAATATTTTATCTCCTTGTCCAATTACCCTTTTACTAGGTCCTCCTAAGCTCACTTTCTTTAGTGATCTAGATTTGGCCTTCGCTAAAAGTCCTTGAAGCTTTGGATTTTTAATAGTATTTAATTTATTTCTATGGAAATTCTTAGAAATCTTGAAATTCAGATTACTTTTAGAACAGAGATCATTTGATTCAATCACCATATTACTTGCATGGAGGTCTTCCTCACAAAGCATTCCTTCTTTAGGGGAACTGTGCAAATCTTGTGATATGGTTTCCTGTGCAATTTTACCTCCTGTGTTCATTTTCTCCCTCTTTCTGGGGATTCCTTTAGTTACAATCTCCCCATGTTGATGTCTTGTATTTATTACTTGCTGCTGAGATTTCTTCTTCTTTTTGCTGGCAATAGATGATGAAATCAGCTTTTCATTATCTGGAAGTTTTGTCAAACCACACTGAGCAAATTCACTAATTAGTTCGTCAATTCTTGTAGTGACAGTTGAAGATATTACTGAAGCTGAAGCCTCAGAAATAGTTTGATCTGTTCCAGAGTTTGTACCTGATAAGTGAGTTTTATCTGCTGAGACAGTACTAAGCCTATAATTGATATTCTCATAAGGTCTAAATTTCTTGTTAATAGTTTTGTCATCTGATATTATACTATCAACAATATCTTTCTCCACAACTGAGTTCTCTGAAACAGGCTTTGGCAAGCCATCATGAGACACCTCTAACATCTTCTCACTTGTAATTTCTATAACACCAGTACTTACAGCACTTGACTTGAGCAATCTGCTTTCCATTTTTCTTTCTAAAGATGAATCCATCTGCTCATCATTATTGGTCTGAAAAAGTGCTGGTTTGTTAGATATAGATGACATTTTACCACTAGAACGTTTGAACATATGATACTCAGATTTGTTTCCCTCATCTTTCATTTCTTCACTATAGGAAAACTGTCTAATCATTTTCTCTTGAATTTCTGTTTCAGATACTAAGGTTACACTCCCTATCACAGATTTCTTTTGTCTTACTCTCCTTGGTCCAGGTGTAGGGGGCCTATAAAAATGGTGCTTTTCTTGATCCTGAGTTACCTGAATGACATCTGTGTCCAGAACAGCATTCTCCCAACTAGCAGAACTACAAGTTTCAACCCTTTGATCTGTCATTTGAGTGCTCTTCTCTACCAAACTGCTCTCTTCATTATTGCTTTTCATCATAGGCAAGATTTCTGCAGACAATGCACATGCTGCAACCTTTAAACCTGATGACTGATCATCTGGTCTTCCTGAAAAACTGCTTGCCTCACACTTTTCATCATTATTAGAAAGATCAACTCGACTGACAGTAGTTGTCCATTTTATGGTTTCCTCCTCTCTTATCTTGAATCGAACTTTCATCTCAACTGTCATGGTGCCATCTTGATTAAAAATAACTGATTTCTCAATATCATCTTCAGAAGGATTTACTGATAAATTTTGAGAATCATTTTTTTCTAAGGCCAAATAATGCTCAGGAGCAAAAGAACAGTCTGAGTAGCAATCATTATTATTATTTTGCATTTTGTGAGAAGAAACAGAATAAATCTGGGACCTTGGGCTTGAAGGCACATGTGTGCTTGCTTTCAAGATATTAAGAGGGAAAATGACCCACATCAAAATGCAATGTGGAAAGTAGAGAAGTTATAAGCATCCAATGGAAAATGCAGCAAAGAAGAGGAAAAAAAAGAGAAAGTGTTAGTACGTAAAACACAGTATTTTCTGAATATCATAGTAAAGTTTGATTCATATCTTTTTCACCTCTATGTAGCTGTTTGTTATTTGGAGAAACATACTGTAGTATCTGGTATATTTTTACACATTACTTTTTAAATGAGACTTTATAATTCTACATAAATGAGGAGATTAACAAAAATTTAATGTTAATAAGTTTAATAAAGTAATTTTTAAAAGGAACTCCTAAGGATCCTAACAAAAATAAAGGGTTTTGTTAGGTTTTTGCTTACTACTAGGAGCTCTCATAGCTTAGTGCCTACGGCACTTGACTGCTAATGAGAAGGTTGGCCGTTCAAACCCACCAGCCACTCCTCATAAGGAAGATGGGGCAATCTACTTCCATAGTGATACTGCCTCGGAAACCCAAGGAGGGGTCACTACGAGTCAGGTCCGACTCGACGGCACATAACAACAACAACAACAACAGTACTGAAACTGCAGTCTAATCAAGTGCTACTTACCTACTCAAACAAGGCAAGTAACAATTTATGTCAGTATTTATTTTTCTACCTGTTCACATCAAAGGGAGATATCTATAGCTCTATGAAAGTTGAAACACCTTTAGAATTTATTTTAAAGGCTAGAATAATGAAGTAATAATTATTAATTTAGCATTTACTTAGTACAGTAAACCACAAAAAAGAACTAGACACAAGCCTAAACATCTGGTTATCTTTTAATGTGTGTCTTTAGAATTAACCTTGGCACTCATGTTTCTTAAAGTCAATCAAATTTATATCTGTAGTTTGCATTGATTTTCACATGCTTGCCAACAGGTGGCATAGTGCCTAAGACATTTGACTGCTAACCAGAAGGTGCACGGTTCAAACCCACCAGCCACTCCTGGAAGGCTGACTGGGCAATCTACTTCCATAAAGATTTACTGCCTCAGAAACCCCAACAGGGGTCACTAACAGTCGGAATTGACTCGATGGTAGTGAGTTTCGTTGTTTTGTTTTGTTTGCCATCAGGTAAATATCTTTAATGCTTCAGAGTATAAAACTATAGAAATATTTTTCTTCTTCTTTTGCATATACTCTTACCAAACTTGCAAATAAAAAAGTATCTCTGTTTGTTTTGTTTGTTTTTTTGTTTTCAGGTAAAACTTAAAGCCCTCAGAATCTCTAAAGCCACCAAAAATCATACTCAGGTACCTATACCAGATACAAAATAATGAAATAGTTTTAGTAAAATAACTGAAGTGAAATAGTACTGGCAGATGCACTACTAATTACCTACTGAATATATCCATAATAAAATGAGAATGATAAATAATAGATGAGTTCCCTGACATTAGCAATAAGTAGTGGGATTAACACTTCAAACGCATATTACTCTATGGCTAAATAGAATGAAATTAAAATTAAGTATAAATAGCAATCAATGACTGAGCACACAGCTGAAGTTTTGCTAGAAATATTGAGCAGAATGAATGAGATTAGCTATGCTGTCATAGAAAATATGGAGTCTAATCCACAAACCTGGGCCTTAAAAGGCCTTCCTCCTTCGAAAAGACAATGTCTCCTTGAACACCAGTTCCTAAGGAATTATCAACTTACTTTATTGTTAATCAGCCAACCTATATTATTTTTGGCTGCATGAACATTTTTAAACTGAAAAAAAAAAAAATGGATCTAAGGGTCTGTGGTTGTTACTGGAATAACTGTAGAAAATACAGCATACTCCTTGGGTTTCCAAGAGTGTATCACTGCAGAAGTAGGTTGCCCAACCTTCCTTCTGAGGAGTGCCTGGTGGGTTTGAACCGCCACCCTTCTGGTTAGCAGTCAAGTGCATTAGGCACTACACTACCAGAGCTCTCTATCTGCAGTTAAGAGATTTGAAAAAGGATAGCCAATTTGCTGAGCTCATCTACGAATGCTATGTGCTACTACTTAGAGAAAATCGCATCTACAAAAGATGTCACTTAACATGGATTCCATAGAATTCTTCTCCAAAACCAGAAATACTGGCATTCTGATTTTTTAACTAGGTATTATATCTAAAGTTTGGCAGTTCAAACCTACCCAGTTGTGCTGTGATAGAAAAGACTTGGAATCTGCTTCTATAAAGATTATGGCCAACAAAACCCTACAGAATAATTGTACTCTATAACACATGGGGTTGCCAGAATTTGGAATCCACTTAATTGGCTTTGTTTTGTTTTTATATGCAAAAAAGCATACCCCATCAATTTAAATAGATACATCATTGACTGATTCAGAAAAATCTAAAAAAAAAAATTATATAATCTCTTTCTGATGATAAATATTACCAATTTCACCTGAGAATATTTCAAAAACCTCTTATTTTCTCCTCTGGACAAAGGAAACTGGTCATTTAAGCATGGATTTTTTTTTTTTTTTTTTTTGTTAAGGTAAAATTTAAAAAATAAAAATTCTCAGTGCTAAAAATAAGGGCTATATATTTTAGTAACTTACTCTTTCTGCTTTCTGACTTAGCATTTCCTTTGGGGTACATGCGATGAGCAATCCCTGGTAACCTAGCAGGAAGCATGTACTTTTGGATGTCATAATTTCCTGGTTTAAATGGCTCCCTTCCTGCTGCCACAATGGCTCCAGAGCTCAGAATCACCGCCTGGAGGCTGGGAATCTAGAAGAAAGCAAAGAGCTCAGATTTTCACTTAAGCAACATAAACTTTTATTCTTCCCATGTGGTAATTTTATAATTTTGACTGAATCAATCAACTTCCTGGGCTTGATGTTGCTAACCAAGCATTTGTTAGGGTTCAGTGATGTATACTAAATAGCATAACATACCAAAAAGCGGGGGAGGGGGCAATATCTTTGCTGAGCACAGTACTAGGGAGGAAGAGAGACTAGTGTTAGAGAATAACTTCAAAAAAGAAAACAAACCTGTCACCATCAAGTTGATTCCCACTCATTGTGACTCAATATGACAGAGAACTGCCCCACAGGACTTCCAAGAATGTAAATCTTTACACAAGCAGACTGCCACCTCTTCCTTCCATGAAGGGGTTTGTGGGTTTGTACTACCCAGCTTTTGGTTAGCAGCCAAGAGCTTAACCACTGCTCCACCCGGGCTTCTTTACAGAATAACAAAAGAGATCTGTAACTAAATAAAACAAAGTGTGCAGTACGCTTTCCCTTCGGCATCCGTGTCCCCAGCATCAGCCAATAAGCTCCAGTGCCAGGCGGGAAAAGGCCTTGTGCGCGCTGCAGTGCAGGAAAGTGTGTTCCAATGGGCAGGCTCTCATTGCAAGGGAGTGTCCCCCCACCTGCCTGCAGGACCTCAGGTAAACGTTTTCTCCCTCTGGGCGAATGCCACTCTTGGCCAGTCCTTTTAAAGAAGTACTGTTGAGACTGGTTTCTGTGCCAACACATCATAACTTGGCAGAAGGGAAGAGAGAGTGCGGGAGAAAGAAGTGACCCTAGTGCCAGATGCCCTCACAGAAAAGCATAGTTTCCTTCCCCCCACCCCTAACTGGAGAGCCAGATGGAGGGGAAGAGTTTGAGGTTGAGGGAACCCACGCCCGCTAGGGCGACGCCTTCCGGTCCACAGAATAACTACACACACAAGGGCTGAGAGGGAGGGGCGTGTGGCCGAAAGACCCCAGAAGGAAGGGCCTCAGGAACACTCACTCACCTTTCTTCCGTCGGTAGCGTATAGCTTCGCCACCGACCACCCCATGACCTCCGTGAGATGCTGGACAAAGGCCTCAAAGCTCTGGGTGACTCTCCGGTTCACCACCACTACACGCCCCGTTCGCGGGTCGCCGTTCTTGAAGACCACGAGCCTCCGGGAGCCGCTTTGCAGGATGGGCGGGGCGGCGGCGCGGCGGGGCACTTGTGCGTTGACTGCCGGGCTGCTTTGCCAGGGTCGTGGCCGCCGACGAGCTCGCTCCAGATCCACCGGCTGCACCCTCTGCCTGTGGGAGCACAGGTAGGACTGGCCGTCTTGCAGATCCTCCAGGCGCGTGATGCTGTGCATGCCCCGTGGAGTGCTGATGTTCCTCACCCCGAACGGCAAGGGAACCTTCCCGGACAAGTTATCCAGCAAAGCATCAAATGTCTTGAAGGAGCGAGGGTTGACCACCACCTTGACCCCACTGAATTGTGGGTCTCCGCTCTTATAGAAGCTGATCCGTTTGGCCACGACAGGATGGGTGATGCTCAAGTGGCGAGGGTGGGGAACTCGACCTTCAGAAGAAGTCGGATGAGTCTTAGATAAACTAGTGGAAAGGGTTTCACTCATCTTGGTTGAGACCTAGAAAGGAAGAAAATTGTTAATCTCCAGAATGACAGAGCTATAGAAAATACATGATAATGCAAATAAATGCTAATTATAGTTAACATCAGGATCTGTCTAGGGTCTTTTTCATATATTCATTTATACCTGCCATTTTAAAAAAGACAATTTTAAGAATCTTAAAAGAAAAAGATATAATTAGAACAGTTAAATAAGGATATTTATAATCAAAAATGAAAACGTTTTAGATGCACTAATACGGGCTCAGATAAATAAATTATGATATACACCTGTGCAATGGAAAGCTTTGTAACTATTAAATACAGCTGTATAGATCTATGTTTACTGGCATAGAAAGATGGTAATGTATATTGTTAAATAAAAAAAGCAATTCATAAAACATTTTATATTATTGATTTATATATATACATATTTATTATTATACAATAGAGATAAGTCTGGAAGTATATACATCCCAATGTTAATGGTAGTTATCTCTAGATGGTAGGACTATGGATAAGATTTGTGGAGGTTTTTTTTACAATTGCTATACTTTGTAAATTTTAAAACAAATAACAAGAATTATCACACAATTTAAAAATAACAAAAGAAACACAAATCAAAATTCATCCAGTGAGAAAATTAAGAGTTTTGCAATTGATAGTTTAGTGGCGTAATGCCAAAGCATTGACCAGAAGGCTGACTGTTCAAGCCCACCAGCCACTCCTCAGAAGGAAGATTGGGCAATCTACTTCTGTAGTGATATGGCCTTGGAAACCCAAATAGGGGTAACTATGAGTTGGATATGACTCGATGGCAGTGAGCTTTTAGAATTTTGCAGTCAAGGAAAAGGAGAAGCAGAGTTCATAAAATTCTGATTGTCTCTTAAATAGAACCACATGAGTTCATATGCAAGACATTTTTTCTAAACACTAAATTCTAGAAACAATGTATCAGATAGATCCTTAGAAGAAAAAAGGCCATATAAGATATTATAAAGTGCTTCCCCTGAAGACTTGTAGAAAATGCAGGAAAATCTGACATACCACATTACCATACTTTGGGAAACACCGTTTTTTGATGAACGATGTTATGTGCTGTCGAGTTGGACCTGACTCATAGTGACCCCTCCTTGGGTTTCTGAGGCAGTATCACTACTGAAGTACATTGCCCAACCTTCCTTCCGAGGAGTAGCTGGTGGGTTTGAATCGCCAGCCTTCTGGTTAACAATCAAGAGGAGGCATTTTCAGCAAATCACTAAGTTTTTTCTTCCACTTTTCAATGAAGTCAGAGTCTGTGACTGATAGGGGACTGACTACTTTTCGAAGGGTTGATATGCTTCTGGGTTTGCTTTTTCATTTGTAGCATTGTGTGAGTATTTTGTTTTAAATCAATTTAATTATTGGTGTCTATTGACAGATGAAGGAGCTCTGATAATGTAGTGCCTAAGGCCCTTGACTGCTAACCAGAAGGCTGGCAGTTCGAACCCACCAGCCACTTCTTGGAAGAAAGATGGGGCAATCTACTTCCATAGTGATACTGCCTCGGAAACCCAAGGAGGGGTCGCTATGAGTCGGGTCCAACTCGACAGCACATAACAACAACAACAACATTGACAGATGAAGAATACCCTGCAGCTTTACAACAAGTGTACAATTTGAAGACAAACTGAACAAAGTAATAAATGTGATCAGTATTATAGGGATGAAAAAGACATATTTGTCAGTATAAATCAGCTATAAAGGTGACCTAAATCACTTACTTAAATGGTTGCAAGTTGCTGTCTAAGATCCTTCGTATATCTCCAAGGTAGTTTGCAAATCTTATTTACCTGTAACTTAGGAAAATGTGTTCAAAGATCAGCCCAGAATTTAGATGTGTTTCCCCTCTGTCCCCCCCTCAGCTGTTTAAAGTGATTATGTACTTAAGGCAGCTTTAGCAGGCCTGGGCATCAGGAGCTGGGGAATCCAGCTTTACAATGGAGTCAGCAAACTGTCTTTTCTCATCCTCCTCCAATAAACTGTGCTCTGACCTTGGGCACACTGCTTAATCTCAGTGCCCTCTCCAGCTACAAGAAGGATGAGTTTCTTCAGTGTTTAGTTAAAAGACTTCATACCACTTTGCTTCCATTTACTTTTTAGCTTAGTTTACCTATATATATACTTGAAAATATTTACATGAATGATACTTGAAAACACCTAATTTTGCAAAATTATATTTAGTAAGTGCAAGGAGCACTGGTGGGGCAGTGGTTAAGGCATTGGCTGCTAACCAGAGGGTTGATGGTTCAAACCCACCAGTTACTCTTCGGGAGGAAGATGAGGCAATCTACTTCTGTAAAGATTGACAGACCTGGAAACCCTATGGGTTGGCTATAAGTCAAAATGGACTCAGTGGCAGTGGGTTGGGTTAGATTTGGTGTATGTAAGTGCACCCTCAGGCTTTTAAAGTTACTAGTTTTCTGCCTTTGGAAGGAAGATGGGGCAATCTACTTCCGTAGTGATACTGCCTCAGAAACCCAAGGGGAGGGGTCGCTATGAATTGGGTCCGACTCGACGGCACATAAAAACAACAACAACAACAGTTTTCTGTCTGGCTTTTACTATTTGGGGAGCTTTTAACCTGGTGACTTCTTGGAAACATATTTGCATGAGCTGATATGCTAAGAGTTTTTTGTGGTTTTGGTTTGTTTTGTTTTTTAGGGGGTTGAAATAAGAGATGGTGTGCTAACATCAGGAGAGACACTTTGGAAGACAAGGCTAATTGAAGGGAAAGCGTGGCTTCCACTGTCTCTATCCCACTGCTGCCCAACTCAGAGCACTGGTTTGGAAGCAAACACATGAAGGGTAGAAGCTGAAGGCAACATCCCTGCAGCGGAGGAGCATTTGCAGAGAAAGCACTTGGCAGGGTATTTGTCAGGTGCCTTGATAAAGAGACTGTAGCAAACACATAAGTTCACAAGATCCTCATTGTACATGAGAGCTCTGGGAACACCCAGGAGGTTTTAGGGGGAGTGTTGTGAGGGTTAAGAGCCCAAAGTAAGGTTGGCCTGACACAGAATATAGCAGGATCTCTGTTAGTACAGAGCACGATGTCATCATTGAAGAGAGAACAAGCCACATTCCTTCCGAAGGAGCTGGCCTTTGTCCTAATGTAACCAAATGTGCCTCCTTCAGAGCCCATGGGAAAAGCAGAGTACTTCAAAGCACAGTTGAGGAAAAGTCCAGAGTGCCATGAGACTATCAAGGAGAGAGCAGGAGTAGGAAGAGATGGTAATTTAAAAACTTTCAAGAGAAAGGCCTGTGTAAAGCTGACATGCTAGGGACAAAGAGTGGTTAAGATGCCCTCCAAGAAGGCAGAGCTCATCCAGCTGGTGCACATGAGTGAGGGTAGCAAAGTAATCCATGAATCTTGATATTAGTGTCCCTTCTGTGAAACAGAGCCACATTCCTCTGCAACTTTTAGTGCCTGTCTCAGTTGTGCACCTTTCTTCATCAGTTTTCAAAACTAATTAGAATCTGGTTGAAAATTCAACATTTTTAATATACATCTTAAACAATAAGGCTTATTCTATGCCCTCTGAAATTGGAATAAGGCAATAATATACTTAAGGGCCACAAACAAATGAAACAGCCTAAAGTAGATTAATTCTTCTCCCAGCAGTTTAAGCTGTGGAAGAAGTGGAGGTAGAAAGAAATAACAAGAGGAAACATTAGACTCTTAAGATCCTCCATTTTCTTCCCTCGAGGTAGAAAGCTCTTTGCTTCCAGATCAATTTTTATTAAAATCTGAGCCTAATGATTTGACATCTTACTACCAATCTCTTCCCCCCTTCTTTGGCAAATCTCCCAGTTGTCTGAAGTTAGTCTATGGAGGTCTATGGAGTTATCATAATAGATTTTTTTTTTTAAGATTAAGCAGATTTTTCAACACCATTTGGCTCATTATAATCTAATGGTTCAACCATGGTTAGACTTATCTATGCCATCATTAGTCTTAATCAACTGTGCATTTAAGTCTGTGCTGTGCAGGACTAAAGAATTGTCCCCACCACTCTCTCAGCCACTCACTTGATGACACAGATGACAGATCTACAAGATGCATGCATCATGTCACTTACTATATTTGAAATTTAATTTTCTGTCATGTAGTAGGTGGCACAAAAGGTTTGGACTTGACTGCTCACGTAAAGTTTGGTGGTTCATACCTACCCAGTAGTACCACAGAAGAAAAAGCCTGACGTTTTTTTCCATTAAGGCTGTTGTTATTGTTGTTATGTGCCATCGAGTCAGCCCCGACTCATAGCGACCCCTCCTTGGGTTTCTGAGGCAGTATCACTACGGAAGTAGGATTGCCCAACCTTCCTTCCGAGGAGTGGCTGGTGGGTTTGAACCGCCAGCCGTCTGGTTAGCAGGCAAGTATCTTAGCCATTAAGGTTACAGCCATGAAAATCCTATGAAGAAGTTCTACTCCAAATGCATATTATTAACTGCTGTCCAGTCAGAATCTACTGGACAGTAAATAATAACAACTACAACTAGGAATTCAGACAGTTAAGAAGGAATGAATTAGAAGATGAAAGAAGGAAATTGATAAATTCAGAATGTTACTTCTTGTGGCAATTCAAAGATTGGATGTTGTAAGAAAAATTAGTTCATTCCACAGATTAGCAGAACTCTAAGGGATGGGGTTGAGGGTGTTGTGACTCAGAAAAGAAATATACCAATTATTGATTATGGTAGTCACAGCATTATTAATTTACAAGGAGCTTCCTTCTACTTTAATGTATTGTACAGTTTTTTATAATGAGTATTTAGAACTTTTAGGAGCTCTGGTAGCATAGTGCCTGTGGCACTTGACTGCTAACCAGAAGGCTGGTGGTTCAAACCCACCAGCCACTCTTCAGAAGGAAGGTTGGGCAATCTATTTCTGCAGTGATACTGCCTTGGAAACCCAAGGAGGAGTCGCTATGAGTTGGGTCTGACTCGATGGCACATAACAACAAC